TAATATGATTCTGGTGTTCCTGGAAGAGAGAAAATGCCCAGCGGACCGTGTCTGCAGTCCCGAAACAACCCCTCCTGCCTCATGATATTGCCCCTGATCTACTTTTAGGACAAGAGTAAAATGTGTATCAATAAACAGAAGCACACTGAAGAGGCTGGAGGAGAGAGGCTGGGGCCCAAGCCTAAGTCTGAACTGCACACACACGCACACGGGTGGTCCTGGACTTCGGGGCTTCAATTCACAGCATTTCCACTTACAATAGTGTGAACATGATACACACTCAGCATAAAACATTCTTCCAGATTTTGAATTTGGATCTTTTCCCAGAATAGCAATATACATTCTAATACTCTGGATGCCGGGCAGCAACCGTGAGCGGCAGCTCCCAGTCAGCCCTGCCATCTTGAGGGCCAACAAATGACACCCCACATTGCACTGTGCTGCTCAGCTGGGGTGTTCTGTAGGTTGTTTATTAAGTGCATTTTTGATTTAAGATATTTTATACTTGTCCTAAGGGTGTATTGGGACACGTGTGCATGAGAAACATCTGTGTATGTATATGCTTTTACATGGATGCATAAATGGGTGAATGGATGGATGGGTGAGTGGATAGCTGTGTGAATAGATGGATGGGTGGGTGGATGAATGTGTGAATGGATGGATGGGTGGGTGGATAGATGGATAGATGGATGAATGGGTGAATGGATGGATGGATGGATAAACAGGTGAATGGACGGATGTGTGAATGGATGGATGGAAGGATGTGTTGATGGATGGATGGATGGATGATTAGATGGATGAATGTGGTGATGGATAAAAACCTGGGTGGATGGATAATGGCAGCCTTGGACAGCTCCCTTAACCTCTCCATGTCTTGGTTTCTCCATACATAGTGAACTTTCTGATTAAAAAAAAAAAAACAATATAATCTCTAACGTTCTTAGAACCAAGCCTGGCACACAGGAAGCACTATGTGAATGTTAGCTCTTTCCATGCTAGACATGTGGACTGTTGAGAGGCTGTTGGCTAAATGGCTTGCTCAGTGGCAACCTTCATTCAACAAGGGTGGGAGAGGAACTCTTCCCAGGGAGCTTGAATAAAGACATTTTCATTTTGAAAGAAAAAATACTGCAACTCATGGGCATTTTTTTTTCCTTCAAAATTTAGACCTCCGTTACAAAAGGCAGCGTTTTTAACTTAATCTTCTCAAGACAGAAGCGATTTCAGTTTAATCCCTATCATTTACCACAGTATCTGGAACAGATAGCGGGAGGAAGGGAGAAAGGAAGAAAAGAGGGCAAAGGAAGGAAGGAGAGGAAGGAAGGAGGGAGGAATGTTCAACAGACAGCTCCCTTCAGACTGGCCACGGAATGCTCATTAGATGCAGGGATTTGGGGTTCCTACCCATTAGAGACAGATTGAAACCAGAATAAGTGCACACTATTTTACACACAACAGATCCTCGTCTGATGGGATCAGGTGGGAGGAGTGACCTTGATCCTGAAGAAAACACAGTTGCAGAATGCTCCGTCCTCCTGAGATGACGGCAGGGCCAAGCAGCTCTGCTCCCAGCCTCCTCTGCCCTGCACCTGTCTGGCCCTTGGCAGTTCACTATGAAAATCTTGTTTACTCCCATTATTTCATGAGGCTAGAGAGAATTCTGGTCATTTCCGCTGGTTGGTTAGGGATTGAGGGGTTTCCTAAGACAGGGGAGTTGCAGTTTTAAAACTAGGACAGTCCTGGGCCAAGGGAAATATGGAAAAACCCCACAGAACCTTGTTTTTCAGACTTTCTGGGCTTCTCTAACTTAAGAGGTATTCACATACTGCTTCCCTAAAGAACAGTGCTCCTTCTAGCCAAAGGGAGGCTGCACAAGGTCTGCAGGAAGAAGAGCTGCAGTCACATGTTCCTTGGGAATGTCCACCTTGTGTTCTGGTGTAAGGAGACAGATTGATGAGAATGTTGGGAACATGAGTATAAAATGGGCTCACTATGCTACCCCCATAAGCTTTCTTTACCAAAAAGCAATTTGCCTGAAGCCCTGCCTGGCCAGAGTGGACAGGACATGTCACATTCCTCAGCAAACTGGAGCAGGTTTGAAGGTCAGGCAGTCAGTGTAGGTAAGGAATGAAGGGGGTGAAGAGAGGATGGGGACTTGCTATCAAACAGAGAACAATGAGTTGTTAACTCTGCCATCATGTTCCTGGGCACTCTGGGTTGCTAACAATTAACCTCCATGTCCCTGCTCTTAGGAAGAAAGAGAGGACAATAATCAAAAAGAGGGGTTCTGGGGTCTATAAAAGAGCAAGATGCACCCCTTCCTATGGATACCAGCTCTGGAGCCCCTTATCTTCAGAGAAGTCTGTCTCTGTCCCTTTCTTAAATAAAACTTGCTTTCTATAATAGCTTCACCATTTCTTGGGTATTTAAACTTCTGAGGAATAAGGACCTATTCCTGATCTCCAACAGACCAGTATCACTAGCTCAGTTTACTGTTATATAATACCAGAGATTGGGTGCCTTAAATAGAAAACATGTATTTCTCACAATTCTGAAGGCAGGCAGCCCAAGAGCAAGGTGCAGACATCCTCAGGTTTTTGGTGAAGGTCTCTCTTGGTTTGCCAATGTTGATCATCTTGTGTGCTTACCTGGCAGGGAGCACAGTGAGCAGAGCTCTCTTCCACCTGTTTGCAAGAGCACAGATCCCATTCATGACGGCTCCACCCTGTGACCTACCTACCTCCTGATCCTTCATACTGGGTAGGATTTCAGTATGCATTTGGGGGACACACTCAGTCCACAGCACCTTGATTAGATGACAAAGGAAAATGCCATTCAGGATGGTATTTTGTTGCTAATCACTTTGTCCCCTCTTGTTAATCTCTAGAAGACATGATTATTTAACCTGTGCTACCGATGTTACTGTAAAACACAACACATAGAAGAAAACTGTACAAATCAGTGTTCAATCAATTATCATGGAGTGAAAACATCTCTGAAATTCCCCCCAAATAAGTAGTTTTTAATGGATAAAGAACATCTGTTTAAGGAAGAGTTTTCTTTCTCTTTCCTGAGATACTGAATCTCTAGATCTTGATTCTATACATCCTTGAGCTACCCACATTCATGCCAGAGATCCCATACTGAGCATCACAAGATGCTTTTGGTGAGCCTCTTCCAGACTGCCTGTCAGCAATAGAAAATGTTACCTAACCAACATTTAGAATTAGTGTTTTAGAACAAGAGATACATTTGTCTGAATATATGTTTCCTTTCCCTTTCTTTCTTCCTTTTGGAAGATCCTTCTATGGGTTTATTTTCCTACATCCTGTTCATTGACTCCAATTTTCATGTAGGTACAAGATGTAAAAGGCCCTACATTACATTACCTGTGGGGATAAGTGATATACTATTATAATAATATACTGTTATAAATGTTGCAGAAATGGTGGTGACAGCTATATCTTATAGATCTGACTCATTTTAAAATTTTGTTTTGTTTCTTTTTAAGCAAGAAACTGAGGCCACATGACTGCTACATATTACAGGCTAACTGGAATCCAGGAGGTCTGTTGTGTGGACACAACCCAATTAAGCTGAGCACTCACTGAAATTGCTTTCTCAGCCAGGATGGAAAATGATTGATCACAAGTCAAACCACACATTAGACTGAAGGAGTTTACAGGTAAATCTGGCCTAAGGCCATTTCATTTTGATGGGTGGAAATTTGAAGTGGTTAAGTGAGGCAGGGAGCTACTTCATTCTCTGCCTGAGATCCTTCAGATTGGGGGGCAGGGGTATGCAGGGGAGACTGGCTTCCCAGTGTGGCTGCAGATGGGATGTGGACCTGAACCAGTGGCTCACACTCAGTGGACTTTAGGAACTTCTTGAAAAAGGGCAAGTGTGCCGAGGACTCACCTAAGCCCACTGACCCCTATTAGACATGTTTACTGAGCTCCTGCACTGGGCCCCTGCAGACCAGACCAAGCCAGAGTGGAGTCACTTGTGCAAGTACCTGGTTATCAAACTGAACATCCAAGGAGACCAGTCTTCCTAAAGCAACAGAAGATTCCAGCCCACCTGAGCCAGCACAGTAAGGAAGCTCCTTCTGTTTTAACCACATAAAGGGAGTAACCGTTTGTTGAGCTCCTTTCTGCATGTAACTGCCAACCTCCTCTGCTCTGCTCATCGCTAATGCGCATTCTATTTTCAGACTCCAATAAAAACCAAGTAGCTCTTTAGGTCTGTGTAACCTTGTCTTGACACTTCTCATCTTGAAGGTGGCGTCCAGGCCTCAGGGTAAGCTCAAAGCTGCCTGTGAAGCCCTGGGCCGCAGCGTGGTAGTGAACACTGAGCTCCCGGCTGCAGTGTAGCAGGGCCTGCTCCTTTCCGAAGCCTGCCCAGGTGGACCCGCAGCAGAGGGGCCAAGCCGCAGCCTGGGGGCCTGCAGCAAAGGGGCGACCCCAGGGCAGAACTCGGGATACTTGGCGCAGCAAAGGTTCAGTAGCAGACACCACCCGCAAGCCAGCACCGAGAGCCACGCGCGAGCTCCCACCGGTCCCAGGGGTCTCCGAGCCGGGAGGCGCGCAGCTCCCGCAGCTCGCCCAGGCCCCGGCGGAGCATGCGCGGGCGGAGGCGCGGGCGCGGGGCGGGGCCTGCGGCGGGGCTGACCGGACCCGGACGCGGCGGCGGCGGCTAGCTCGGCCATCCGGCATGGCGCGCCACGTGTTCCTCACCGGGCCGCCAGGTGAGCGCTGGGCAGCGGGCCGGGGCCCCCAGAGCTCCGAGCTCGCGCTGCCGCGGCCCCGGACCCGCAGGACCTCGGCGCCGGGGGAGGAGGCCGGGCGCCGCCACAGGTGGGCGCGGCCGAGGCCCGTAGGTGGCGGGGCGCCAGTGTGAGACTGGTGGCCGCGAATCAGTGCTGTCCTGGGGCGGAGGTCGTCACCTGATGTCGTTCACTTAGCCCCAGGTAGCAAAGGTCACGTCCACGCAAAAACCGCTCTTGCCCCAAGGGAAATGAAAAGATGGCCCTTCTGAGCCAGTGAGTGACGCAGGCCGGGAACGTGGATTCAGTTACCCTGGGCGGCCCGCACCGGCGTGGACAGGTCGTGCAAACTCGTGGTTACAGGACGAAAGAATCTCATGAGTCAGTGCACGCTTCAAGTACGCCTTGGGAGCGGCAGGCCGCACCTGCAGTAGGCGGGGACTTCCATAGGCCGCAGAACTGGCCTTCTTAGCTGCAGCGTGGGTGGAAGCTGAGGTCAGCTCAGAGTAAAGACACAGGAGGTTATGGTGGGTCAGGCGCAGAGGCTGGTAGTAAATGGCTGGGGACTGCGGTACTGCAGATAAGCCTGGATCTTACCTGCAGCATTCCATCTCCCCCATCAGGATGCTCCTGTCGGCCTGGCCCAGCATTCTGCAGGGCCTTTAGTATGGATAGGGCCTCTTCAGAGCTTCAGAACTTTTCATTGCATGGTGCAGACTCTGGATCTTTACTTTACTAGACGGTGTATGTGAGGGGGGATTTAGGAGATCTGGGATTTAAGAGATGCATTTTTAGGAGACTGTGGAATAAAGGGATTTTTCCACCAGTAAGTGTTGGCCTGGTCTCCAGCACCCAGCCTCTGATCTAAGCATGGCCCCTGTTGGTTCCCAGGTGGAAAAGTGAGGAGGGTGAACCTGGGAGGAAACAAAGCTCAATTCTGGATGCAAACTCATCTTTGTATCATCTTGGAAGCACTCTGCACATGCTGGGGTTGCATATGAGACAACTCTGAGGATGTTTCAGAATCTGAATAAACTTCAGGATGCCATTCATGTTTTCACTGTGTTTGTTTCTGCTAGAATTGAAACATTTGTAACACCTGGAGCAATCAAGATCAGAGTGAGATTCATATTCATAAATCTGAGTGCAGCCTGCTTCTGTGCCTCCCTTTGTTGCCCTCCTGGAGTGGCAGGTGTTGTGTGTGCTAGGGGAGCACCTCCTGATGAACCTCTTCTTTGTTTTTTTCAGGGGTTGGAAAAACAACCTTGATCCAGAAAGCCAGTGAGGATTTGAAGTCCTCTGGGGTGCTCCTGGATGGATTTTATACAGAAGAAGTCAGGCAGGGAGGGAGAAGGACAGGATTTGATGTTGTCACTTTGTCCGGCACGCGGGGGCCTCTGTCCAGAGTTGGGTACTGATGCTTCATTTCTGTGGGTTTTATCCTTAAGCTGCCCTTCTATCCAAGTTCAGAGCTTTTATATTCTGATTCCACCAGAGCTAAATTCTTCAAAAGTTCCCTGTGGGGTCCTTGGATGCCACTCTGCCTCCCTGTCCCAAGGGTTCAGAGTCCGTGTCTCCCTGAGCTTGGGGCTGAGCCCGATCTTGAAGTATCTAGGGCTCGAGAGATGTGCCAGAGAAAGGAAACGGAGACCACTGTGTGAACAACAAGCACAGAAAGCACGTTTCATTTGGAATGTGGGCCAGAGTCCTGTGCTTTTCTCCCATGGTAACTCGTGGCCCTGTGTCTGGACAGACAGCTTGGGTACTGGGGCTGCGGGGCTGTAGTCACCTTGCAAGGCCCTGGTGGTGTGATGCAGTTCTCAGGAGAGGAGTCAGTGGGACCAATGCTCCCAGCGGCCTCTTCACTAGGTGGTTGCTAAGGTTGGGGTGGATATGCAGAAGGCCAGTGCTGCAGTGGGCTGCAACAGGAATCAGCATCAGACCCCTCCTCAAAGCAGTGTCTTTTCTTTCAGGCCAGACCCTGTGCCTGGAAAGCGTGAGTGCCGGGTTGGGCAGTACGTGGTGGACGTGACTTCTTTTGAGCAGTTGGCACTTCCCATCTTGAGGAACGTGAGTATGTGTTCTTGCCTCCTGAGCCTGCCTGTGCTCTGCATCACAGAGGCTGCCAGGGGAGCAGAATGATGTTTGCTCCTGCAGGGAGGACAGTTGTGCAGTTTATGGTTTAAACTCTCTAAAGAGTTGAGCTAAGAAATGCAGCATGAGATACCCTGGGCTGCACACGAAGGCCTTGCCTCTTGTTTGGCACATATAGGTACTCCACATTAGGGTGACCAGGAAGGCTCCCAAGTCCAGCTACCCACACCACAAAGACTGAACTGCCTTGCTTCCCTGAGTGTGGAGCCCTTTCTCTGTTGCTGTTCATTGTTGAGACCCAGGAGTCTGCATCTGTGTTCAGAGGGCTGTGTTCTCACTTTATTTTCTTGGCATCTTTGGCTTTGATCTTAGGGCAATACTGGTCTCCCTCCTCTGATTTTTGGAAGACTTTGTGAATGGTTGTTATTCATTTTTCTTTGAATGCATGGAAGCCACACAGGCCTAAAAAGCTTTTTATGAGAAGCTTTTTAATTATGAGTTTAATCTCTACTTGTTATACATCTGCTGGTTTTTGATTTCTTACTGGGTTCATTGTGGTAATTTGTGCCTTTTGATAATTTGTTCATTTCATCTAAGTTACAAATTTATTTTATTTTGTAAACTTGGTTGTGTTGGCTGAAATTTCTTTCATTCCTTCTTTATTCATAGCTCTTCTCCTGTTTTTTCCCTAATCAGTCTAGTTAAAGGTTTTTCAACTTAGACGATCTTTTCAAAGAACCAGCTTTTGGTTTTGTTGACTATTATCTGTTTTTGCGTCTATTTGTCACATATTATCAAGTCCTGGATCAAGTTCAGGGTCATGAACAAAACATACATAAGCTCACCTCTGGAGACTCAGCCTAGCGGGCCGGGCATTGGATGTGGGTGAGGCTGGGACCCCTGCCGCACTGCTGTGAGAGCAGCAAGGGATGGGTGGGGCTAGGAGGCCAGGAAGGGGTCCCTGAGGAGCTGACATCCACCAAGAGGAAGCTAAGAGGAGAGAGTGTTGGGATGACTGGGGAGGGGTGGTCCAGGGAGAATCTTCTAGGTGGCAGGAGAAGGAGGAGGAAGTAGGATTGGTGAGGGTGGGGCCGAGGTGCAGGCTAGGGGCCTTGCTGCGGATCTTAGACTTACTTTTGTGAAATGGAGTGGTATGAACTTATCTCAAGAACCTATTATAAACCTTCTAGGGCTTTCTACCGCACCAGGACTGGAGTCTGACTTCCTTGTCTTCCACAGATGTCAGGGCTGTTCCCGTCTTAGGCTCCCAGCACTCACCATCTTTATAGTTGGCACTCCCTCCTCCCAGCTTGTGCCCTTCTGCCCCTCAGCCCCAGAGCGCAGTTGGTGGTTGCCAAGACTGCTGGAGTTGAGATCCAGCCTTCCCAGGGTGCCTCAAGTAGGCGGGGTCTTATGCCCTGGTTGGGGGGGCCACAGCAAAAGGGTTCAGTCTCCTTGGCCTCCTCGGTTGTGCTTACCTCCCCCTCCTTGTTCTCTGGAAACCTTCCCTGTGCTGTTCCCTGGGAACAGTCAGAGAATGTGGTATTTTTCCTTAAAATACCTCTATCTAAGTGTCCAAACAGCAAGTGAAATGTGTCTAATGAAATTCCCACTGAAGAGCCTGGCTCTGAGCATCAGATCAATACACTGGATTGATTTTTACTTCCTGTCGGCAGGCAGAATTCTGGGAGAGAACTCATGTCTGGCTGCAGGCTTACATAAGCGTCCCCATACTGACCACAACAAGAGCCTGCATCTGTCTTCTTAATTAGGAAACAAAGACAAGCTCTGTGCTGACCAGCAGCCCAGACCTTCAGGTGCCAGGTGGGAGCAGCCCTCTACTGGGCGTCCCTGCCCAGTTAGGGCCTGGATTTCTTTTTTGGAGCTAAAATATTTCTCCTCTCCCCCGCCCCCCCCCCCACACACACTATTGTGATGAAGAAAGGAGAAGGAACTAGTGTTTAACTTTTATAAAAACAAAAAGACTAGGCAACAAAAATAGGGGCAGACAAGTTTTGCTGTTGGCAGGTGGTGACCAGGTGGGCTGGAAGCTTTGGAAACCCCAGTGGGGCAGGTGAGGCCCTCCATCCAGGGCTGCAGTGTCGAGGTTGGGGCGCCAGGATCTAGGAAAGGCTCTGACAAAGTGAAGAACTGTCTCTTATGTGTAAGAGCTTCACTAGGGGTGAAAAGCTGGTTGAGTCCTTTTAAAAATACTCTGAAAAATGTAAGATAAATAATTCTCGGTTTGGACCAGCGTGGTTTGCCCATTCGTCCCTAGGGAAGCAGGATGTGCCGGGAGCTGGCAGCAGCTTGGGGCAGGGGAGGCCAGGAGGCTCAGGTTGCTGCCTTAGCATGGATGTCTGCTACTCCCTGCAGACAAAGCGGAGATGGAGCAGAGCAGGGGCGCGGGTGGGGAAGGGAGGAGGGCAGATGCTGGTGGGAAAGGATCTAGACCTCTAGGAAGCCCCTCAGGCCCAACTGTGTTGATGGCTCACCCCAGGGCTGACACCTCTCCTTGACTGAGAGCTGTCACTTATTATTTTCCTAAATATTGAAATTTTCTCTGCACATGGTAAAAGAAATGTTGTAAAATATTTAAAAAGAAGAAAGAAAATATGAGTAGGTCAGGCCTTGTCACTGGCACAGCCGCTGTGGGCCCGCTGTGCTTCTGCCCGGCTCTGCCTGGTGTGTCTGTTCAGTTGTCCAGAACTCAGGAGCAGCCCCTGTCATTTTATCAGCGTGGTTTGATTTTCCTGTGGTCTGAGTGGCCTGGAAGACGTCTCATAATTTAATAATCTTCAAAACTGAAGTTTGATGATCTGCTATCTCAGAGTGAGGATTTCACCTTCCATGTAGCCGTGGCTCCCTCTGTATGGACACCTTGTTCCTAAGGGGAACTGGCCTTGCCACCAAGTCCCCTGCAGGAGCTCTGCACCTAGCTGTGCTGTTCTCTGTGGGGCCTGATGGGCAGTGTGGGTGGGAGGAGCCTGCGTTCTCAGGGCCACTCTCCCCCTGCCAGTGTGAGCGCAGGCTTGTTTCAGGCACTTTGTGGGCACACTGATTTACACTTGGAAAACACTTCTTAGTTTTGATTTCCATTTTTAAGGTACTGATGAGGTTAAATGGTTTTCAATTGTTTGGGGTTTTTTTTTTTTAGTCTAAATTGTTTCATTATCTTCCCATTTATTCCTCTTTGGCTTAAGAAATCTTTTGTAAGGCAGATAACCTTTTTATATTTATTGATTCTATTTTTCTGTTTGTCACTTTATTTTGGAGTTTTTTTTTAAACATAAGGAAAGCTTTGCCCTATTCAAAATTAACATAAACTTTTACTTTACTTTTCTTCTTTTCTGTGCTTTTGCTTTCAGTCAGTCCGTCTGGATTTATTTTGAATGTAACACAAGGAGACAGTTGGGTTCCTTCCAGATACTTAGCTTGCTTGCTAAAACCATTTATTAAACAACTCACTTCCAATTAGTGTATCATGCTTCATAAATCATATTTTAAAACCCTAGTGTGTGTGATGTTTCAGGGTCAGCTGTTACCTTCTGTTGATCCTTTCATTTTTGTACCAATACCATACTACTTTAATTACAATTATAATTGTAATTTTGTTCTTTGAAAAATTGCCTTTGCTTTCTCATGTGTTGGTCCTTCTGCATGGCCGGGTGCTGATGGCAGCGTGGTAGTGTTGGCTGTCACTGATTGCAGACTCCGTCAGGCTGGAGGCTCAGTCCTCAGAACGCTGCCGCCGTGTTCCTGTTTTGCAGAGGGGGTGCCCGAGGCCTTGCTGGGTGGCACAGCTTCTGTGAGGCAGAACTGTCCTGAACTGTGGAATTGAGACTGCGCTGGAGGCCACATGGGGTAACAGGAACTGTGTGTAGCGAAGGCCGTGCTGTTGGAGAGAACATGGTCATTTTCCAGACAGCCTCCTTTCTGTGGCTGTAGTGCAGTTCCTCCCTCTCCCCACTTAGCATCTTCCCGGGTGCCCTGTTCACGGGGCTCTGATGAGAGTGGACTCCTCCGTAAGCCCTAGTGGCAAGCAGGTTGAACTGCTGTCCTTGGAGTGCCTGTCCCACCAAGGCGTGGCGCCTTGGGGTGCTGAACCCCAAGCCAGGACTGCCCCCAGCTACTTGCCAGTTAGACATAGGTCATCACCACTCCCTGTAGCAGGGAGTCTGTTCGCTTCCCCACAGGCAGCTTCTAATAAGGAGAAGGACAGCAGGCAGCAGAGATCAAAGCTCTTCTCCAAAGTTCAAATATCGATCAGCATTTTTACTAGAGTGTGAATTTTTTGAAAACGGTTGTGAATGCTGCAGGCATGAGGACAGCAGTCCCTGTACCTGCCATGGGTCCACAGCTCAGCAGGCCGCTGGCTGAGCACGCTCTGTGCACATGCCACTCGCCACCCACACACATGGGGTTCGTGCCTGTGCCTCTGTCCACCTGGGCACATGAGTGCTGCCCACCTTGGAGAGCGGGTTCTTCACGGTGAGAGGGATTTCTTGGACACTGTTCCTTGTTCCTGGAGGAAGGTGTATGCAGGATGTGATGCACAGGCGTGGGTGGGGCCTCGGAGTGGGACATCTTGTGTTGGACTCCAGAGCCCTCAGTGTGCTCTCCGTGGGGTACCCCTATAGGAAATGCGGACACCTGCCTCACAGTGGTCAGAGGCCTGACCATGCTGTGCTCAGGGATGCCTGGTGCCCACTCTGAGGGCGTCCATGGAGGGAGGTTCTGGTCATCCTGGAGCAGCTAGGGCAATGGGCAGCAGTACCTGGGAGGCCTCCCATCACGGTTGGGTCTGTATTTGCCAGGGAACTGGGGCCAGAGCAGGGCTGTTAATCTATCATGGGGCCTCACAGGCCTAAGCCTCCAGAGTGGTACTTGGGGCCCTTGTCACGAGGAGGGGCTCTTTATTCTGCATGCCACCTGTCAGCTGGCAGGACCTCTTTGGCCCCAGGACAGCTCTCCCAGCCTGGAGGACCCGTGTGTTGGGCTAGGTGACGGTTTGTGTGAGGTTAGGACATGTAGGAGGGGCCTCCACCTGAGCCACCCCAGCCCTGAGAGGGACACTGGCGCTCTGTGGAGCAGCTTCTGCCGCAGCTGGGCCCAAGCAGGGAAGGGCCCAAGCAGGGAACGGCCCAGTGGTCGTCCAGATGTCTCGGAGAAGACTCAGAATCCAGGTCAGGAGACCAGGATCTTAGGGTCTCAGCCTTGCTGTCTTGTTTCTTTTAAACTTGAGGTATTTGGGTGCCATCTATTTTCTGGGTACATATAAATATGAAGTGTGGTCACTCTTGGGACCATTGCAGAGGAATAGACATATTGCAGGAAGCTAGGGCTTGGGGAACCAAGTGCTCCGTGCCGCAAACTCCTGGGAGCCCTTGTCCTAGGTCTGCATGCAAGGACAGTCTGGCCCTCGGGCTGCGCGAGTGGTGTGGCCTGGTGTCCAGTGTGTTTCTCCATCCCCAGGTGGGTTCCGGTGGCCCTGGGCGCAGAGTGTGTGTCATTGACGAGATCGGGAAGATGGAGCTCTTCAGCCAGCCCTTCATCCAGGCTGTGCGCCAGACACTGTCCTCACCAGGGACCGTCGTCCTGGGCACCATCCCCATTCCCAGGGGAAAGCTGCTGGCCCTGGTGGAGGAGATCCGGAGCAGGCCTGACGTGAAAGTGTTCAGTGTGAGTACCCATTAGCACGGGCAGCACCCTCGCCTGCTCCTGGGCCTTGACATGCCACTCCCCGCTACTGCAATGTCAGCAGGTCTGATTTTAGGGATTTAGAATGAAACCATCCTCTACACATTGACAGACCATGGGGGCCACCTAGTGTCTTGTCCCCGTGGCCCCCTCCCGCCCTCCCCTGCCCCTGCATCTGCTCCACTGCCCCCTCCTGCCCTCCTCTGTGCCTTCGAGTGCCCCTGGCGAGCTCTGCTTGCTGTTCCCACCCCAGGATAAAAGCCTCCCAGGTGCAGGTGGCAAGTGAAAGGTGTCGGCTTCTCAGTGGGGCTGCAGCAGAGTGAGCAGTGGCAAGACCACCTGGCCTGTGGGCCCTGGTGTGATGTTGCCACTGAGCATCCTGTGGCTGGTAAACAGCTGTTAGCCTTGGACCAGCTGACCAGCGAGGCATGCGCACCTCTCACGTGTGCACTTTCTTGGTAGGTGCCAGCTGAGTACCTATTTTTGTGCACGGCATTGTTTCACATCTTGGTGGGTCTGTTCCTGGAGAGCTTGTGGCCGAGTGCAGGTGGCCGAGTACAGGAGCCGGATGCCCTGTGTGGGGAAGGGAGGCCTGGCAGCACGGCCAGGTGGCCTGGTGGTGGGCAGCACTCAGGGGAGGTCTGTCCCAGGAGGTGACGTCTCAGTGGAGGCTGGATAGGCGTGAGGCCAAGTCCTCATGTCAGTGGCCTCTGAGCCAAGTGCTGCCCTCCTGCCCCTCTGCACACTGCCTCTGTGGTAGAGGTTTGTGATGACGGTGTCTGTGGACGTAGAGGCAATGAGTGCCAAAAGGTCACAAGATGGCACCTTCATGCTGTAAGGCTGGTAGTGTTAGCACCAGGGACCCAAAAGTCCTGAGGAGGGTCAAGGGAGCTGAGGGCCATGTGCAGAGTGAGTGCTGGGTCCTGAGATGAGGCCGCTCCAGAGGGGAGATCGTCCTCCAGGCAGGGCTGTCACTGCTACTAATGAGGGTACATGAAGCATCAGCTCTGAGAGCGCAGGGGGGCCCCTTCTGGTCCTGGCTTACGAATCAAAACCTCGTTTCCTTGTCAGTAGACCTTAGCAGCTGGCTTACATGTGGTCTTGGGTCCTTTCCGATCCTAAGACACAGTGGATGTCTAAATCCATGTCTGAGAATGTCCTCTGCCTGCAGCGTCCCTGGAGCAGGCACCTGTGAGGAACGAGGACCATGAGGCAGGAGGGGCACAGAAGGGAGGAGTCTGAGCAGAGGGGAGGGGTGGGGAAGAGAAAGGAGAAGGCCCTCCCCCACCCCCACTCGGTGAGCACACGGGTGGGAGGGGCTGGAGTGCATGGCGTGGGGGGGAAGGTGCCCCCAGAGTCGGTGCCAGGCAAACAGCTTTACTCTTCAGAAAAACTTGGGGCAGGGTGGGGGGGATCACATCTAGTTCTCCTCACCGCCACAGAGCCTTGATGTCATCTGTAGGACAAGCAGAAAGCCTGAGAGACGGGGAGGAGGAGGCAGGTAGGCTGGGGACCTCTGGACCCAAGCGGTGGCATGACAGACTCGGCTGCTGGGAGTGCTGTGCCTTGGGGGAGAAGAGGCGGCCAGCAGATACCGGCTTCCAGCCACTGTATTGGGGTCATGGGGTGGGATTGAGCCCAGCGTCTGGCTGCCGTCTCAGTGACCGTCACAGGCCCTTGAAGCAAACAAAGAATAGAAAGTCTCAGAGTGAAAGTCTTAGCAAAAATAGAGAAGATAGGAGAATCCCAGGAAAATTATAGAACCATGAAACACAGTAACCAAATTAAGAAGTTAATCCACAGGCCCACCTTTCTGTGGTTGACAGAAGAAAGAACCGGTGGATTTGAAGACGGAGCAACAGTTTACCTACAGAGCGGGCAGAATGAACAAAACCAGCGAGCCCTGGGGACGGTAAGGTGCAGTAGCCCAGATCTCCCATGTTTGTTAAAGGACACAAACCTACAGATTCAAAAAGCCTGGTGACCCTCAGCAAGATAGACCAAGTGTCCATGCCAAGAGCCTCAGCACCAAGTCTTGGACATTGGGACGAGTCTTGAGGGCAGCGAGAGAAAAGCGGCCCCTGACTCAGGCAGAAGCAGTGACTGTGGAGACCCCTGTCAGACCAGGGGCCAGAGGCACAGCTCCGCTCCAGGCTAGGAGCAGCACCCGGGCACCCAGAGGACTCTGCCAAGGTGAAGGTCCCTCAGGAACCTGGGGAGAACACTCTGTGCAGAGGCAGAACTGCACACCTTGGCTGCGTGTCCCAGGCTCTCCAGATCGTGTGGGGCAGGTGAGGCAGAAATGAGGACATTCTCCGGTGTGTAAGTAGATGAAGAAAGTCAGCCAGAAGAGTCGCCTACATGCCCCGCAGGTGTGGCCGGAGAGCTGTGGTGGACCCGCCTCTCTGCCCTCGGGAGCCTGTGGGTGCTGCTCTCTCCCCTGCAGGCTCCCCAGTGAGGACAGCAGCCCTGCTGCATGGAGGGGACCTGCCAAGCAAGCGTGCTTGGGATACGTCCAGCTGTGGGATGCATCCAGCCATGGCTGGGCAGAAGGGAAGGCCAGGCAGGGTGGACAGGTCTCTGGAGGGGCCAGAAGGCCTCTCCAAGTGCTGCTTGAGTACTGGCCTTAGGCAGGAGGAGGATCAGGAGAGTGGCTGCCTGGGACAAGAGTTTGTCTCCAGTGACTTGCTTTCGAGCTCGGAGTGGACTTTGGCATCGCTGCCGTTTGTCTCTGAGAGAAGTCACCAACTTGTTCTGCCTTCCAGCCTGCATCACAGCATTGGCAAGGTTCAGATCCTCTGCAGCCGGCACCTCGGGGGGCCATGAGCCTGGCGCCTCATCTGGCTTGAGTCCCTGGCTGCAGCTGGGGTGCTGTTTGTGCTGTGTGTGCTGCCTGCTGCCCTGGACATGCTCCTGCCTTGCTGGCTGCTGTCCTCCTCTGTTCCAACAGAAGCTGAGCTGCTGATGTCAGCAGTCCCACCTCAGTCAGCCCAGGTGCTTCCCTGACCTGCTGTGTGCCGCTGGGCTCCTGGTCCTGCTTGTTCTGCCTGGAGACCTTTCAGCCACAGGAAGGTCTTGGAGGTGCAGGGACTCCACCGAGGCTTGGGCACTGACCAAGGCCTTCTTGAAGTTATGCTGCTCTTTCAGGACTTTGGCTGAATTTTTTTTTATGGCTTCTAAAGCCTATTGCTCTGTAAATATAACCACTGAAAACTTTAAAAAAAATTTTTAAACTTATTTTAGTATTTGGCTAATGGAGGCTAGTTATGAAAACAACAGGTAATGGCTGTGTTGATGCCGGAGAGGCAGAAGGTGAAAGCCTTTTGGATCAAGGGGCCTGGAAAGGGTGATGTGTACTTCCTATAGTTTCCTGATGAACAGGGCAGAGCAGACCTGCAGGCTTAGCCTGCAGACTCGCCCCGCCAGCAGCATGTGAGGCGGGAGGCAGCATCCACCAGAGCCTACAGTAGTGACCGTGCCCACTGTCCTCGGTGACTCCAGAGTCTGAGCACTGGTGTGATCCCACGACCCTGCTGCCTTCATTCCTGGGGATGAGGCATGTGATTTGGCCACATGAGCTCAGATGCTTAGAAGTTATTTGATTTTTCTGCCTTATAAATGTGTTAATTTAACCAAACTCTACTTTTATGGTCAGAATCCAGACCCTTAAACTTGCTTCTTCCACCAAGCCATTTTTATTCTTTCAGTTTTCGCTTTGGGGTTGAAGGATCACAAGTGTACTAGATGCTAGGTCCCAAGTTCTAATTTGGAAGTTTTTAGACCTCATGCTCTTCTTGCTGTGTGTATTTTAAACAAATAGGACATAAATTGTTTTCTTCTTATTGGGAATCCTGTACTGTCCCCTGTTCCACACACCTGTTCTCTGGATGCAGAGCCAGGGCCAGCGCCTGATGCTGGATACTGTGATATCAGAAGTCAGTGGTGGTCAGGTCTTTGTGCAGAAATTGAGAGGCCGATCCTGAAATGCACATGAAATACAAGGGGCCCAGCCGATTAATCTGCAAAAAGAATAATGTTGGAGGACTCACACTTCCTGATTTTAAGTTTCACTCAGAGTAGTTGAAACTGTGGCACTAGTGCAGGGTAGACATGGAAACCTTTGGAAGAGAGTGGGAAGTTCAAAAATAGACTCTTAGTCTGTGACCAGTTGATTTCTGTGAGGGAGCCTGGGTGGTACAATGGGAGAAAGAGCAGTGTTTTCCACAAATGGAACTGGAAAACTGGATATCCACATGCAAGAGAACAGAGTTGGACTCTTACTTCACACTGGGCACAAAATGAACTCGAAATAGGTCATAGATTTAAATATAAGAGGTGAATCTATGGAACTCTTGGGAGAAAATATAGGAGTATGTGTTTGTGAACAGCAGTTAGGCAAAGCCTTGTTTGAAAGAACACCCCAAACTTAAACAACAAAGGAAGAATCGGTAAGTTGGACTACACCCAGATGGTCAACCTTTTGCTTCAGAGGCTCCAGCCAGAGTGGGAGACAAGCACAGAGGGGAGAAGAGGCTGGCAAATGATGTACCAGATGGGCCATGGCCAGAGTCCCACACCCGTGGTCCCACTCACTTAGTGTCCAGCAGAGGCAGAGTTATCAGACAGCGGGTAGATGTGGTCAGGGAGGGTAGGCAGGGGTAACAAGATGGGGTTTCTTTGTGGGGTGATGACATGTTCTGATCTTAGATAGCGTGAGGATCGCAGACTTTGAATGTGCTAAACACTGAATTCTACTCTGGAGGTGAGTTTTATGATGTATGAATTATGTCTCTGTAACCCCACCACCATCACACAGAGAAATCAGGTAGGAGGTCCACCTGGAGAAGCCCTGGCACCACTGCCCTCTCTGGGAGACATAGGTCAACACTTAGTGACCACCTCCCTTCCACATGTGGGGAGAAGCGTGGTACTATCTGGGGCCGCTTCCCCTTCTCACAGAGCCACTGATGAGGTTCCGGGACCCCACCTGGTGTCCTCATCTAATCCGAATCGTCTCCCAAAGACCCCAGCCCCAAATGCCATGTGCAGAGAGCTTAGTTTTCCAGACATGGACCTTGGTGGACAGTCAAACCAGAGCTGACTGCTGGGGCCCGCTGCTCCTCTCAGGCCTGCCCTCACTGGCCTCTGCAGGCCTCCAGTGCGTCCCTTCCCCATACCAGGGGTCTTTGCCCAGGTCCCTCCATGCCCAGGTGCATCCAGCTGTGGAAGCCCTGGGCTACCCCTCCAGGTCCTGCGCCTCTCTGGCCCCTTCTGAGCAGTCCTTGGTCACCCCTCCCCCCATTCACATTACCCATCTCCTGCTCTGTGAATTCCACGATGTCAGGGTCCTTTCTGAGGTGTCCTTGCCTGTGTGTGTTGAGCAGGTATCCGTGTGGGCCTGCGACAGGAGGAATCAGTCCTGCCCTCCCTGAGCCCTCTGCATGCTCTGATTCTGCTTGAGTCTGGGGTTGAGGGCTGAGTCTGGCAGTGAGGGCCAAGTCTGGAGGTGAGGGCTGAGTCCTGTGGTGAGGTCCCAGTCTGGAGGTAAGGGCCGAGTCTGGTGGTGAGGGAGACATGCAGCAGCGGGGCAAGTGGGCTGGAACAGACTCTGGCTGTCTTGGTTGACCCATTTGTGTCTGATGGAGGACACATGCTGGGGTCAGAAGGCTCAGTCACCTTCTGTGCCTTGTCCTGTCACTTCTCTGGCTCAGCCCGTCCTCTTGCTATACTCAGGTCCCCCAAGTCCCTGGGGGCCCAGGTAGTTCTGCTGACTTGGGAGCACATTCAGGGTTCTGGGTGCCCCTGGGTCTCTGGTGGCTCCTTCTGTCCCAGTGCGACTGTCCCGCTTGCCCTCCCACCTCCATACCACCCTGCAGCTCCTGGTTCACGCTCTTCCCAAGTTTGGATCCCCCAGCACTCAAAGCTGCTGTCACTTGGTTTGTTGGTACTGGGATTGAATCCAGGGTGCTTAATCACTGGGCCACAGCCCTGCCCCTTTTTAGTTTTTATTTTGGGACAGGGTCTCACTAAGTTGCTGAGGCTGGCCTTGAACTTGGATCCTCCCGCCCCAGCCTTCTGAGTCGCTCGGGTCATAGATGTGCACCACTGTGCCTGGCTCCTGGCACTTCTTGAGTTGTCTCTGCAGAGCTGACAGTGGGACTGAGACACCTGTCCCATCCCAGAGCGTCCCTGGGGATGGCTGCAGCTCCCTCCCAGTCTTCCTGGCTCTCCTTGTCGGTATTTCCCCTCAGGGTGGAGGGAAGGAGGGAGCTCTGAAGCCTGCTCTCTGCCTGTCCCACAGGTCACCAAGGAAAACAGAAACCTCCTTCTACCGGATATCGTGAAGTGGGTGCAGAGCAGCGGGAAGTGAGGTGGGGCTGCTTCCTGCACTGCTGCCCTCAGGAGGCGCCCAGTGGCCTGCTGCAAGTGGCCATGCCTCCAGGCTTCTGGACCTTGCGGCCAGGAAGGCTGACAGCTGCTTCCCACAAGGTTCAGCAGGTCAGGGTGGCCATGTGCTGACCACAGCCCCTCACAGCCTGCTCACGCTCAGGGCTTTCTGTTCATTTCTTCTTCAGCTGCATGTGGTCTGGTAAAGCAGGAACCAAGCAAAGGCGCTAGTAGTCACTGGAATTTGCTCCACTGAAGTTTGTCCTAGTGTCGCTGAGTGGACAGCAAGCTCACTGCCTGTTCACCGCAGGTCCTGAAAGTTAAAGGCCTCTCCTGGGTTCTGTCTCCTGCAGCACGAAGTCTTGTTTCCTAGGAAAGTAATTTGGGGTTCTCCCCTATCTGTTCATTAATTGCTAAATAAAATTAAAGCAAACCTGGTGTTTCAAATACACGGGTCCTTCTGTGGGTGGGCCACCCGGCCTTGGAGCGGCCCTTGCCACTTGACGCTCAGGCTGAAGGGCAGCAAGAGCGAGGTTCCTTCAGTGCCCTGCCTGGGTCGTTGGCTTGGGTGCATTATTTTAACTTTTGAGCCTTTTTTCCCTTCCAGGAAAAGGGCCAATGGCTGTCCTCAAAGCAGGTGGTAAGACTGCAGAGCAAACTGTTCTCAGCACTGGGCTGGCCAGTCAAGAGGAAGGTCAGCCCACAGCAGAGGCTCCACAGAAAAGGGAGGTAGAAAAGCCTGGGCACTCTAGGGTTACGAGACTGCCCCACATGGTGATCCTTGAGTGACAGCTCCACGTTTTCAGGTCATTTTGGGTGAAGATCTGTCAGTTTCCAGGATTTTTTAGCAACCAGCATCAGCTATGGCACCTCTGGTCTTGTTACAGAGTGCTCTGCTCTGTAACCGACAAAGCTAGGCACCTGCAGGTGGCGGCACCTGTGTGGCACACGGGCAGGGCCCAGGCACAGCCTCTGAGCAAGACCAGAGCCTGCAGCCGGGCAGACGACATGCCCTGGATGTGTCCCCTGGAGGGACCACAGCAGGTGGCCTCCAGACTGGGAGCTAATCCCTCAACCAGGGCCTCCTGCCCAGGAGCAGGAGGGGCTGTCTTCCTTCCACTATCCCACTCCTGGTGGCCAGGTGCTGTGTCAGGGTGGGCTGTGGGCCTCAGTGGGCCAGGATGTCCGCCACCACACCTGGCAGCCTGACCCAGCCAAACTGTGAGAGCAGCACAGCCCTGCGGGGGGCCCCTGCCAACCTGAGGAGAAGGGGGTGGAGGGAGGGGACAGGGAAGGGCTGGGGAGAAGTCCCTCACCTGCATCCTGGAACCCCCAGCGCCACCGCCCAGCAGAAGCGGGACTCACATGGGTGCCTTTCCTGGGCCTATAGCAGTGGTTGTGTGTGTCCGGGGTTCCCAGGGCTCCCATGTAGGAATGTGTCCTCCTGCACTGTCCCTCAGAGGTCTGTGCTTCAGGGTGACTATTGGTTGAACCCTGGCTTTGTCTCAAGTCAGGAAACCAGTGAAACTTATTTCAAAGAAGACAGAATGACTGGCTTGGGGGCATTGTGCTCAGGCAGGCAGGGCTGTGGTGCTCTGCTTGAGGGTTGGCACCAACTCTGTGGCCCCTAGCTGGGGGCACTGACCAGCGTGGAGGGGCAGTTGAACCCTCTGAGGGGCTCCAGAGCACGGGTTCTTGCCAGCGCTCCCTGCGGCTCCTTCAGGCTTTCTGCGTCTTAGTGTGCCACATGCCCCAAGCCTCCCAGGTGACGTTTAGCTGTGACACTGGCAAGTCCTGTCGTGATTATTGTATTACCGTGTCAAAGAGAATGCTCAGGGCGTGTGTGAAGGTGCCAGATGTAATCCCTGTCACAGAGTGCACCAGGGTCTCTAGGAGGGCACCATCAGTCTGCAGCTGGCCTGGGTCCTGACATAAGGGGCTGACGTGGTGCTGCTCCTGTGCAGCATTTTGGCGGGAACAAGAGGCTGTGTGATGCAGAACCAGTTGGGGACTGGCTTGCTGCCCACACTCCTTCCTGTCCTCGGCAATTCTGCTACCAGCCATGCCACACACCAGGCTTTACAGATGGACTCCTCTCAGCTCTGAATGGGGTGACTCATGGAGGGAGGGGTCAAGCCTCTTAAACTGGTCAATAGGGAGAGGCTCCCAGTGCAGTTGCTCGTCCCAACCACCCCAAGTCCCAGGGCGCTGGCACTGGCGGGATGCCTTGCCCCTCCTTCCCTCCCTTCTGTCTAGTGTGACAGGATGCCTTGCCCAGGAGGATGGCACCTGGGTGCCAAGGGCAGGTGTACAGCACCTGGACCTGGGCGGGATGGGGAGGGTACAGGGGCCAAGGCGCATGCAGGTCTCAGGAGTAGCAAGATGCTGGGTGTCGGGTGTCCGAGAGGCATTTGTCAGGCAGGTGTGCAACATGGTGCAGAACTTGGCCTCACGACTTCCACACAACCAGACACCACAGTGTTACGTCACCTTTTGGAGGGACTTTTCATCCAGGATTCAAATACAGAAAACAGCTGTGTGTTGGGAGAACGTTCGAGTGCCCTGGCAGTAAGTGCCAACCCAGCCCCTATCTGGCTTGACCTTGGTGGGGAGCTCTCTGCTGCGGCCGAGCAAGCGTCTGAAGGCCCAGAGCTATGGGTGTGAACGTCTGTCCTGTGTCAGGATCAAACACAAAGCTGCACGGCCACAGTGACTCCAGTGCCATGCCCTCTTGGTGGTGCCGGTGGGCACCCCCACCTCAGCACGCACGGTCAGGATGCCTGAGCTCCTTCCTTCACAGCAGGCGGCACGGTGAGGAGCAGCCCATGGGGATGAGAGGGTGCACCAGGCCTCACGCATACTTCTCTGCAGGTGGGTCCCACCCCTTCCTCAGGAGTTCCCATCTGCTCTGCTCTGGGTCCCCAGGAGTGGCTGGCTGTGCCCCACACTGACTGTGGTCTCTTTTCACTGAACTCAAAGAACCCAGAGGGCTTCACTCACAACTCAGGCCATGCTTAGTCCTGAGTGCCCCAGAATGTTTGGGGGGCTCCCAGCCAAGTTTGGTTAGCCACTTAGAGAACTGCTGCAGGTGACATCAGCGTCCCATTGGTCAAACCGCTGTGATGTATAAACAGAACTTGAGCCTGGGTCTCTGGGGCCTGTGGAGCCATGACTCACCTCTCATCATGGAGCCCACCTACTGCCAGTAATCGCTGGTCCTCAGCTTACGAAAACAGAGAAGGAGGCATTAGTGCCAGGGCCAAGGGGTAGGGAGACTGCTGTCCTCTGCCCCAATCTCCAGGGCCGAGATGCCTCAAGGACATTTTGTGACTGTTCGGGACTGTATTCCTTTCTAACTCCTGCCATCCCCACAGGGTGGCCCAGCAGGAGAGCGTCATGTTCCCATGCACTATTTCTGGACCCTTGTCCTTCCTGCATGCCAGCAGGAACACAGGTCTCTGCCCTACCCAGGGGGTCATGAGGAAAAAAAAGTCCCAAATGTCAGCTTTTGCCCCAAATCCACTCTCACCGCGTGGGACAGCTTTTTAGAAATGGTAGCTGTCTCAGCAGAACTCAACCACCAGACAGACGCGGCAGTAGCTGTAAACATTTTAATTCTTAGGACAAAGGCTGTGCCAGTGTGCTTGTGCTGGCAGCGGGGGGCGGGGGGGGTGTTGCTCAGCGTGGAAGACAGTACGCGGGCCTGGGGCACACGGGGAGCACGGCTGGGCCAATCCTGGGGCTGGGTGGAGGAGCACCGTGCGGCTCCCCCATGGCTCACCGCGCTGAGCCTCCACCCTGGCATCCTGGCCTGGTCTGGCTGCGCACAGGGCACTGGAGCCGTGACCACGTGCACTATCACGGGCTGTGGGAGCTGGGCCGTCTGCACTTCCTGCTGCGTGGACCCAGGGATAGAGGATGTCTTCTCTATGAATCAGGCACCTAGATGGCTGGTGCCTCCCCCGCTTCGGTCCACCTCTTCCTCGTGGTGACAGGGCAGTGAGGACGTTGACGAGTGGGAGATGTCAGTGACTCAGCATGCAGTGGCCTTACTTCCATCAGGGCAGGAGGGAGTTAGTCAGGGCTCTACTTAGTCTAGATGGTCTAAGGTACAAGATGGCTTTCGTCTGACGTGTGGGCTCTTGTGCAGTGCTGGGGGAGGGGGCCTGTCCCTCCCCCAGCCCGCCACTGTCACGTGGGTCGTTTTCAAGAACCTGAGATAAAGTCAGTGTTTCCTAAGCAGCTCTTGCTTTTCCTGGGAGGAGACCCCAGGGATCGTAGCCAGGCTCTTCGGTTTGGGGTAAGGGGAGGACAGAGGAGGGCTGCGGAGGACGGACTCTCCGGCCAGATGTGCTGGCTATTGCTCATCTGAGGCGCTTTGCTGTGAAGCCGTGTCATCCAGGCCCATGTCCTCCTGGCTCGCTCTCCTGCAGATCAGCCCCCGGTTCTCTGCCACGGCCTCTGCCAGCCGTCCGTCATGCGGCTGCCCCTGCTCAGCTGCATCTGAGGGTTCACAGGGCTCTGAGAAGTGCTTCCGGAGAGGAGAGAAGCAGGGACACTCAGCAAAGGCTCCCGCCCAGGCTCCTGTCCCCCACCCGCATACCGCCCCAGCAGGGGAATGGGAGCTGGGGTTGTGGAGTCCCTGAAAGCAGGCCCTGAAGGTGGGGACAGGCCACGACTGAGGGTAGGAAGTGCCACGGAAGCTGCATGTCTCATGGGGACTCCAAAGGCCAGGCCTTTCTCAGAAGGAGGTGGCCTAGGAGGTTGCTGTGTGCCCCTCTCCTGGGCCCCAGGCAGCACCGCCTCATGCTCAGCCCCAGCTCCGGCGCGACCACAACACTGCAGGCTGGCCCAGGGACATGGAGGCCTTGGGTTCTGGAGGCTTGTTGGAGACAGGGAAGGGAGTGTTCCAGATTCCCAGAACCACCCTCAGACGGGCTGACCGACGGGTGGAGGAGTGCGTGTGGCCTTCCTGCTGGGGACGGGGAACAAGCATTCAGAAGGACACCCAGCTCAGGAAGTCTCCTGGACAGCCTGCCTTTCCCCTGGGCCCGCATGGCCTGGGGCTCCAGGAGGCCTGAGTGGCCCCCACAGGGGACATGCCTTTGCTGGGCCCCAGATTCTTCCTGGGTCACCTGGCCCAACCTTGGCGCCCCTGGAGGGGCAGCAGGGCACCTCTGAGGGTGCTCAGGTATGATCCCACCTCCAAACGACTGCACCTGGAAGGGGGTCCCTGATGACCTCCAGGCAGGAACCCCGTGGGGCCTCCCACTCTGAGGCCCCTCGCCCTGACTCGTCAGGTAGGCAAGTTAGCCAGCCTGGACTCTGGACACTGACAGCGTATCTGCTCAGGGTCCTTAGAATTCACTTTCTAGTATTGAAGTACCTGAAAGTGGCCGCCCGCCCACAGCTTTAAAGGTAGACCTAAGGGATGGGGACTACGATGGCTAAACCCCAGTGCTGCTGTCCTTTCCTCTCCCTAAGGCTGGACAGCTGAGGCAGAAGCTAGCCCTGCTTCTGCTGGGGTGGGGGCTCATGCTCCCCACCCATGGGCTGAGGGTCCAGGATGCCCTTCTGCAGAGCGTCTGTAGGGGCTTGCTATTTACCATGGCTCAGCACCGAGCAGCTTTGTTTCTAGCCCCCTGCTGCCCTGGGAGCCCTGCAGAGAAGCCAAGGTCCTGCAGCAGGAGGTGGGGCCCAGAGGCCTGAGTGGCCCCCCACAGGGGACATGCACTGCAGCACAGGCCAGAGATCACCGGCCCTTACCCGTGTGGCCTGGCCAGTGGCCCTGGCCGAGGGGCCCATCACGATGTTGACGCTGCTGGAGGACTGGGTGTCGCTGGTGTTCCCCCCCTCTGCGGCAGAGAGCCCAGAAATGACCAGCGCACTGGAGAAGCTCCTCTTGCCGAAGAGGAAGCTGAGGGTGGAGCTGGTGGAGGAGCCCAGGCTGGATCGGATGAGTGCCTCCGCCCGCTCACGGACACTCAGGTGGCCTGTGGTGGTGACAGGTGGCGGCTGAGAATGCAGGGAGGCGTCAGAGGTGTGCAAGGAGAGTTGGCTTCCCGAGGGCCGCTGGGCCAGCTCATGGACTGACGTGGAGGTCTGCAGGAAGGCCTGGCGGCTCTCTAGGATGGGCCCTGAGGAGCTCAGGGCGGGTGGCCTCTGGCTCAGGGCTGGGTGCGCCTGGACAGACTGGCTCCGGCCCTTCCTCCTGCCTGTGGGGAGAGGAGAGGGCACTGTTGGTCCATGTGAGGCCTGGGTGGGAGGCACTCGGGGAGGTGGGGTCTGTATGCCCTCCACTGGGGTTAGGGATGGTACCAATCAGGCAGACGAGGGGAGGCACAGGAGGGGACAGCCATTGGCAATGGTTGTGATGTATTTCAAAACAACTGGGTAGAAGAGCTTTAGGGTCCACAACACAGAAACACGTGTTAGAGGAGATGAAATGCGAGTTACCCTGGTTTGATGATAACACATCATGGACGTGCATTGAGGTGTAGACCGTACCCCATAAATATGTGCAGATTAAGAATAAAATAAAAAAACTTCATCATTTTAGCGGGTGGCCAGGGAAGTCAGTGTCTGTGTGGTGCTGTAGGCCAGGGAGCCCAGGAAGTCACTCTGCAGGGCCAGGACAAGGCCTGGGAGCTTTTACTATCCACTGGCCTGGTCCCTCCCCCAGTCAAGGCCCTGAGGACTGCAAGACTTGCTAAGGGTGCTGAAAGCCAAGGGTGGGGTGGGAGGGGAACTGTGGCCAGGGTGACCCACCTGCTGGGTTTGCCCGGCACTTTCCTGATATTGGCACTGAAGGTCCTGCACCTCCTCAGTCCAGGCAAACCCAGACAAGGACCGTGGCTGCAGAGAGCCGATCTGAGCTTGTTTCTGACCCAGGACCTAGGTTACTGTGCTGATCTAGTCTTCTTGGTAATACAGGAAAACAGGCAGAGTTTGGTCATTTTCAGTTGCCTTGAAAGAGGGAGGCAGCTTGGACCATGTGCTGGGCACTTTGTTCTCTAGACATTTCTGTTGAGGTCGGGGTCTTTCAGGTGACTGACACCCATATATCTGCCAGGCCCAGGCCTCGGTTGTGGTGGCCATCTTGCCTGCTGTAGCCAGATGCCCTTTGCCAGCCATTCCTCCCTGGCTCTTGCTGAGACTTGTCTAAGCAAGGCTATTCTTGAGGGAAGGATTAGACTCAGCCCTGTGCCTCTGAGGAGGGGCACATCAGTGGGTCTGCCTGTGCCCTGGTGTCGTGCAAATGCCCAGCAGCTGGGAGCATGTCAGGTGCTAGTGGCAATGCTGGACTGCATGACAAGCATGTCCAGTCCCCAGTCCTGCTTTTAAAAGGTCATCTTGGGCTGGGGTGTGGCTCAGTGGTGGAACCCTTGCCTCACACATGTGAGGCACTGGGTTCAATCCTCAGCACCACAAAAAAATAAATAAACAAAATAAAGGCATTGTGTCCATGTATAAATTTAAAAAAAAAAGCTTATTCTTGATGGGCAGCTGGTGACAACAGCACTGTGACCTCACAGCTCGTCTTCTGAAGCTGTTCCCATCAGATGCTGACTGGCACACACAGAGGGCTTAAGTGCCACATTATTAGCTGGGCACCCAGGGATTAGAAGTGTTTTTGTATGTCTACATGAGAACCTGAGCAGGGATAGCCTTTGAGACAGAGCCCGTCAGGGAACAAAGGTCCTATGGAACGCCCAGTAGCCGTCCACCTGCTGCTTCCCTCCCAGGGCTTTCTCGCCGAAGGGCCACCCGCCTCTTGTTGACTGCATGCCAGGTTGGAAGCTTCGATGGCTGGTGTCTCTGCTTCCAGAAGGCATGGGTGCCCCACCTCACTCTGTCCCACCTGCAGGCTGAGAAAGTGGGGACCCAGCTTGTGGGACTGCACGCAGTCCCCAGGACTGGCCCTGGCCCCTTGGGGGTGAGCTTGACCTGGCCTGGTGCCCACCACCTGTGCCACAGAGCAGCAATGCATGGCCTGGAGGAGCCTTCTGAGTGATGGCATGTGTTGCTCTTCCAGAAGGAAGAAAAAGAGGGGAGAAAAGGATGAGTCAGAATTGAGAGCAGGATGGTGACGTCTGTGAGAGGCTGAGCCCCTCCCCAAATCCTCCACAGTGTCCAACCACCAGTGCTTTCCATGCCCCACAGACCACCTGCACTTGAAAGGGGCTTTCCTGCTAATGCCAGGGACAAAGGGACAAGCACCCTGCTGTGTGTCTGCAGGGCAAGGACCCTCCTGCATGTCTTTGCTTCAGATGTATTTTTTGTTTTGCTTTTTTTTTTTTAATTTTAATTTTACAAGAAGCAGGCAGACCACTCTGTGTCCATCTCTGCTTCCAGGGCCCTAGTTCTGTGGTCTCACTGACTGCCAGCTGCTGTGTTGTCACATGAGGGCTCCCAGGGAGGCCTTGAACCTGAATGGAAGTGTGACATAAGTCACGCTCCTTGTTCCTTGTCCCTGGTCTCTGGTCCACATCTGAGAGCCTCAGCCCTGGGAGCAGGAGCTTCCCTCTGCACCTTGGGACCAGGTAGGGAGGGTTTCCAGCTGCGTCAGGAGAGGTCCCAGCCCCCGCTGCTCCTCTCCTCCAGCCATGACACATACTTCACCCCAGCAAGGTAGCTGGCAGGCAGCTCCTAGTCGGGGTTGGAACGTCAAGGCTGGGCAGTGGTGCAGAGTGTGGAGCACTCTATCACAGATGCATGGCCCAGGGCCCGGGGAGGCATCCGGAAGGGCATCTGGCAAGAGCTCGGAATTGGGGTGTGTGGTAGGAACTGAGCAGGGGAGGGATGGACATGAGGCCCCTGCCTTGGTCACTAGGGTGGAACTGCCCTCCGTCCTTCAGAACTACTCCCTCACGGCTACCTACTGAGCCTATCCTGCCCCTAGGGGCAGGTCCCCACTCTGAGGACCCCCCTTGCCCAGCTCTCACCTGCCCCTTGGCATACCGTGTGCTTTGTGTGAGGTCCTCTCTGCCTTTTGCCCAGCTTCCGGAAGCAAAGGACTCCTGTGCTGTTTCTGTCACCTCAGCGCCCAGCACTGCCATTCACTGGGTCTGAGGGTCCGCAGCGCTGGACCCTGAGGAGGCACACGGTCTCTGAGGCCCGGCTCCAACATGGTGCTCACAGTGTGTGGGAGGGTTGTCTAACTGTGGGGGGCTGTGGACTAGGGCACACAGCTGGGTCTTAGGCCACCCCGGGGGCGGGGGTGAGCACTGCTGTCAGCTCCCCTGAGGAGCCAGCAAACGCCCTTCCCAGCTTAGCTACAGTGGGGACAAAGGGCACCCACCCTCTCTGCCTCTGTCTCCTTCAAGCACTGCTCTGCCCAGCGTGTGTGTAGAATTCAGCCATTCCTGGGAAAGTGTTTTGGATGCAATCCCCCCAGCTGCCCCCCTCCCCCCGGAGAGGAAGCATTGTTTGTACCCCTGTGGGAGGACCCCACGTGGGCTTTAGACAAGAGTCACACAGGATCACACTTGGGGGTGGCAAAGCCTGGGCAGTCTGCATGTGCCCAGCTCAGCAGTACGGGAGGGCAGGCGGGGCATCCCCTGCCAGCTGCCCAGGACACGTATCCATCACCTTTCCTTAGTTCACTGGCCCTTGGGGACTCACAGTGTTCTGGAGGGGCTGCCCCGTGGCGTGTGCCTTTCAGCAGACCTTTGGGGATGGTCTGGCTGTGCTAGGAGTCTGCAGGGGACCCAGGCATGGTCTTCCTCTCAAGGAGGACACAGGTCAGCTGCCTTTGGCCCCTCTGCCCAGGCCCTTCCAGCTCAGCATGGCCAGGCCCCTGTCACCAAGCATTCCAAGGAGAGCACCCTGCTTGGTCTCCTGAGAGCCTGCTGGGTGCAGAGTCCTGCAGGTTGGCATGTTGGCAGGGGCTCAGTGCACTTTGGAGAGCCAACAGGGTCAGTGCTTATGGCCCCACTTCACCTGGTTCTGATGACAACCCTGATAGCCAGTGGACCTGGAGATCCTGAGCCTAAGAGCCCAGCCTTGGCCCTCTGGGAAGCTTCGTGCCATTGGGTCAGCTGGAGGGGCCACTGCTGTCAGCTAGTGTCAGCTGAGCACAGGACCAGCCCCTGTGCAGCCCCTACCTGGCACTTAGGGGCCTACTCAGCCCCCAGCTGTGGGGACAGGGGTGTGCACAGGCCTCTCCCCAGGCCTGCCTCCCGGGGTGGGTGCAGCCCCTCCTTCAGGGTGTGCATCCTTCCCTGGGTAGGGTGTGGGGCACTGGAAGAGTGGCATGCTCTGTGGGTGCCCACCCCAGACTCTGTAGGTCAGGCAGGCCCCACTTGGGGCCAGCACCCTGAGTACAGGGCAGGGGGCAGCTCAGCCCTATTATGGGGCAGCTCTGACCACAGAAAATAGATGTGGGTTGGCAGAGGGGAGGCAGGAGGGGGAGGCTAGGAAGGGTGAGCCTAGGTGGGAGAGGCACGTTCAAGGGGACAGGGCCCTGAGGGGGACAAGGAGTCTGCGTGGCAGAGGAGGCCAGCAGGAGAGGCCCAGCTCCACTGTGAGAGGTCAAGAGTGCTCAGGGAGAGGCCAAGAGTGCTCAGGGAGAGGCCCGAGGACAGGGGAAGGCTTGGGCTCTGTGACGGGTTGTGCAGGTCCCTCCATATCCACACGAGGAAGCCCGAACCCTGCTCCTCTCCGGGCAACCTTACATGGAAATGGGTCATCATGTGGGTCAAGAGGAGGCCACACCAGGCAGGGTGGGCCTCCAGTCCACAGTGTCCTTAGAAAGGGGATGTTTGGACACTGCATGGGGACAGAGACGAGAGCCACAGAGCACCACAGATAGCTGGCAACCACTGGAAGCCAGGGGAGGGACTTGGAATGGCTTCTCTCATGGTCCTGTGACCCCTTGTCGTGGGATGCCCAGCCTTCAGTCTGTGGGACAAGAAGTCCCTGCTGCTTGAGCCGCTGGGCTCTGGCCTGGATGTGGCAGCCCCACAGACCTGCCAGGTGCACTGTGAGCCCTGGCATCAGCGGCTGAGCGAGAAGAACCAACCTGAGCAGGAAGAAGGCCACCCTGGAGAGGGTGCCAGGGACACATGTGACCTCCAGCTGCAGGAAGGCCAGAGAGGCCGAGAGCCTCCCCTCCCCTCCCCTCTCCAGCTCTTGATCCTCTGCTGGGCACCAGCTCAGGACATCACCCAGACCACCTTCCCTCTGGTATGGAAGCTTGCAGAACCAGGGAGGGACTTGGCTGCCCCTGCCCCACTTCTTTCCCCTCCCCTGCCACAGCACAGAATCCAGGAACCCTGGCTGTCTGCCTCAGGAAGAACCAGATGTCTGCTTTGCCTGCCTGTGGGGCCAGAAGGAAGGTCCCTGGGGCCCTTGCCAGGACAGAGTCATGGTGCAGGGACTCTCCCAGAGGCAGAGGGAGCACCAGAGGCTAGGGCCACAGGGGTAGGACTGCAGATTCTGGACGTCCTGCTATATGTCCAGGCTGGCCACTTACTAGCTGGGTGCCTTAGGGTAAGGAGTTGCCCCACTGTGCCAGTGTCCCCATCTGCAGGTGGGCACAGCGAATGCACCTAGACTGTCCTGGAGAGGACAGTTAGCCTGTGCCCCGCAGCCCTCAGCATGGCCCCACACAGCAGCACTCGAGGACAGAATCAAACATATGCAAGATGCTGAAATGGGGCAGCCTGGAGGCCTGGGAGTGCTGTGCCTGGCACAGGGCAGGCGGCTGGGGAGGGAGCCCTGTTTTCTTCTTCTGAGAAGCTGATGTCAGCTTTTTGGCCATGCCCCTGTCTACCTGTCTACCTGTCCATCCTCTGTCAATTTTCTGTCTACCTCCCACCTGTCATCCATCTCTCTCCATCCATCACCCACCTGTTATCTACCATCTGCTGCCCACCTCTCCCAATTTCTCACCTGTCTGTCTCTCTCTCTCATCCATCTCTCTGTGTCCATCATCTATCTCCTGCCCACCATCCATCTCAATCTCTTATCCATCGGTCCATCTATCTGCCCATGTTCACATATTCCCATCGCCTCTCTTCCTGCTCTGCCTTGCTCTGGGCTCTCCCAGGCAGGCCTGCCCTTCCAGCTCGTCAGGGGCAGAGCTGGCAGGGGCAGAGCTGGTGGGTCAGAGCTGGCAGGGGCAGAGCTGGCAGGCACAACACGTGCCAAGGTGCTTGGTAAATGCTGCTGGAAGTGGAGAAAGGAAGAACCAAGGCCAGAGATGAAGCCACTCGCAGGTTGCGGAGGGCCAAGCCAAGGCCTAGCAGGACCAGGACAGAGCACCTGCCTGCCCTGTGTCCTCAGGACTCGTCCTCTGCAAACCCTCGGCTCTCCTTTCCAGCCCAACCATCCTCCTCCCAGAACAGCATCACCAGTGAGTTTCAGAGCTTCCGCCATCTGGCCGAGCCTGCGTGGGCATCAGTTCAACAGGCTTTAAAGTTTAGACTCAGCCCTGGACACCCCCATGTTCCCATCTGCTGGTACCTCCCTCCCTCCCTGTTGCTGTCCTCTGGGAGGTCCACAAGAGCAGCAGGGCAGAGGCCTCTCTGCACAGAAAGAAAGGACGCAGCCACAACACAGCCAGACCCAAGAAGGACATGCGAGAGGGCTGGAAGGGAAGGGAGTGACCACTGGGCAGAAGGACAGATGAATGGCAACCCAAGGTGACAGACATGACCAAAGCTGGACTAACAAACGGAGGTTTGGTCTGAGCAGATCTCTGTAGGAGTGTGAATTCTGAGTCGCTGTGGCCAGAGCTTGTTTTTAATGCAGAAGGGAGCTTGTGGCACCAGGGGCGGGCCCTGCTGCACCCACCTGTCCTCTGGGCTCCTTCCCGTGATGAGGTCCAGTGCTGGGGGCCACCTTTCCGGGCATGCTCCGCGCTGCTCTCCCTGCTGTCTCCGCTTGGCGCGTAGCTGCCCGCTGTAGGGGCTCCGCTTCCATCCACATCCTCGATGTTGCCCCTGTTGTGCTGTCCCACACTGCAGTCCTTGCGCATGCTGCAGGGAGAGACACTCAGCCCCTGCTCTGCTGCGCCCCACAGGGCCCCCTCGGACCCTGTCACCCAGCGAGGTCTCAGCCTTGGTTTGTCTAGCACTTCTTTCCTGTAACTCTGTGATGGTCACCCCACCCTCCAGTACCCTGGAGAGGCCCAATCCTACCTGAGCCACCTGGCCCGGAACCACGCCCTCAGTCTGTCCAAGGTGATGGGTCCGCCCCACACATGCTTCATCTGCCTGTGCGTCCCCAGATAGGACGTGGTCAGCGGGGAGACGTACATGGGGTAGCCCAGGGGCTGGTCGCAGGAGGAATTGACCAGGTTCCGCAGGACCTGCTTGTTGTTCTGGATGCTGCCGCGCTCCGGGTTGCGGTTGCGGAGGAAGATGAGCTCCTGCTGCTGCCCGGCCCAGAGCCCGCGCACGCACTCCTTGTTCACCTGCGGATGGGCGACAGCGAGGGAAGTGGGCAGCCCACTTCCTGTCGTGGTCTAGCCTGCAGCAAGCGGTCAGGGCTCTGGACTGGGTATCTGTGACTGTTACACTGAGGCCTAAGACACTAAGGCTTCCTCACAGTCAGTCCCACGACACAGAGAAGATGCCATTTTCATGGAGGAAACTGAGGGGCAAAGAAAGGAAATAAGGCTCTGTTTTAGGAGGTGGTTCGAACCTGTATCAAAGGAGGGGTCTGGCCAGTTAGTCTTGCTTCATGAACAGGCCACTGGAGAATGCCAGAGGCTTAGGAAGTCCAGCAGAGTCAGATCCTGACTCCCATCTAAAGCGTGGTAGCCAGGACTCCTGGCCCGAGTGCTCACCACACTGGCTTTACCATGGGGTGCTGGCCCTGTGGCTCCCAGTGTCTGGCCCAGCCTTGCATGCTGCCCAGCACTGCTCTGGTTTGCTCCTCTGCACCAGGGCTCTTGTGTGGCTGCTGCTGCTCCCTGCATTTCCTGGGGCACGCTGCGGGGCGGGCAGGGGGCACGCTGTGAGGGAGGTGCGCCTACCTTGATCACCTTGAAGCTCAGGAAGCCTCTGTGCAGCATGACCACCTTGTACTCATCAGCACCCTCGTCCACCACGTGCCGCAGGGTCAGCAGCTCCTCCCTGTTGGAGAGCACGGCGCCCCTCCAGGCGGGGTCCCCCTCGTGGCAGATCACTACCTTCTTCTCAAAGGACTGGATGGCCTCATAGAGCACCGCAGGGTCTTCATACTCATCTGGGCAGGTGAACTGGTCCTGGTGTGGGGAGCCCAGGTCTCATCAGCAGCCCCGCTGGTCAGGGTCAGTGTAGATGGCCTCCAAAGCCAAGTCCTGCCTCCACCCATCCACCTCCCCTCATCTCATGGCCATGACCAAGGGAACGTCCTAGGGAGGAGCTTCAGGACGCAGGCCCCTGGGCCTCTCAGATATGGGCTGGGCACTCTAGTGTCTCTGACCCTGGCCAGGACCCCTCTTCTTTTGGGGACCACTCCCTCATCCTAGCAGCTCCTGAGGGCAAATCATCTTTGACCAATGCCAAGACTCTCTGGTGGCCTCACTGTGAGTCACAAGCAAGGAAGTGTCCCCAGCGCCCTGTAGAGAGAGGGGAATGCAGGGTCCAAGGCCATTTTCCCTCTGTAGCTTCTGGCTTTCACTCTTTACCTGGTGCAGCTTCAGGGACATTCTGATGGCAGGAGCGACAACTTTGTGCAGAAGGTCCATGTCAGCAAACACCCACTCATCCCGTGCCGTCACCCTGAAGTCACCCTTGAAGAGGGCATGGAGGCCATGCAGGAAGGCATCCAGGCTGCAAGACAAAGTGGTCACTGCTGACTGCCACCAGGCCTGCCAGGATTCCTGTCATTAAGACCAGGCCTGAGTCTCCCACTGAAAAACTATCTTAATAATGTAGGCCAATCCGGCAGGGGACGGAGCCAACTCTGGACTCGCCTCAGAGTATGAACACCCTGGAGCCGGGTTCATGTCCCTGTCAGTGCTGAGTGTGGGGCCACCTCCCTCATCTCCCACCTGTGCACTCTGGACAGCAGGCCGAGCACCCCAGGCCCCTGCCCTCTCTCTCAGGAGGGGACCATGCCGGCCAAGCTGCACCCAGCACCTGTGTCCCTGGGTGTTATCTGTGGACTGCAGCACTCACGACAAAAACTGGATCCCACCACCAGACTCAGAGAGGAAGACTGAAGTGGGTTCTGGGAGCACGTCTGTCCCCAGCGCGCCCTGTCCAGTGCCTGGGGTAGAGCCCGGTTTCCCATTTCCAGCTGCTCCCACTGCTGTGCTTGCCACCTTGCCCGCAGATCACCAAGCGGTGCCTGGGTGGGGACAGGGCTGCCACTCTGGGGAACTTGCTCAGGGATGGGGCCTCTGTTTTGGTTGACATGGGAGTGGGCTTGGGAAAGCCACTTTTGCACCTGAGGACAGTCCCTCTTTGCGTCCACCCCTTACTTCTATTACTACACTCTGCACAGTCACTGTCAACACCCTGAGGGGTAGTTGTGAGGCAAGTACAGGAAACGGCATCCCAGATGGTGCTGGGTGCTGGATAGGATAGGAGAATCCCCACAGCAGGGGCGGAGGAGGATCCCCAGGGGCCTCTGCTCCTAAGGACTTAATGAGCCGGCTCGCTGAGCCGAAGTCTGACCAACGCAGCACATTAGACCTGCACATCAGGGAATAGTCCCAGTGCCTGCTGTCTTAGCTTCTCACCCTGAGAGATACCATCGTCATTCATTTCCTCCTGGAACTCCCTTGAGAAGATGCTGAGGCTTTGAGCAGAGCAGATTGAGAAGTAGGAGCAGCTGGGCTGGTTAGGTAGGGCTCAGGGTGTTGTGGCCTGAAGAGCCTGGAATCTTCCAGAAGGAGATGCTAGAAGCTTCCTTGCTCTGAGGATCCTGCCTTGCAGAGCAAACGCTTCCTGGGGCTGTGAGCAGCAGCCCGTCACCTGGGAGGCACTGAGAGGCAGTCGTGGGGCAGGTGAGACTGGCAGCCTAGCAGAAGGGCCACTGCCAGGAGTGGAGGCCATCAGTCATGACTCAGGCCTGCTTCGCTCTCACCGAGACATCTGGAGATGTTGCTGTCTGGGGCGGGCGCTGGGCACTGAAGTGGGGAACTGCTTGGGCAGGGGTCAGGGATGCAGGCTGCGAGTGCACCCAGCCTCACACAGGTCCAGAGCAGCAGCCTCCAGATGTGGGAGGGGGACAGTGCACAGAGGCCTGCCACACACCCGCAGCACCAACAGGCACAGCGAGGCGTGGGCAGAGTGGCCTGGTCTGCAGGGTGGCTCCCCCCTGCTTACTCCTCTTGGGAAAACTAGGTTTCCACGGAGCCTTGCTCAGATGCTTGAGCCTCCACCTGAGGCCTGAGTGCACACGTCAGTTGCCCTTTCTGTCCTCCCAGGAAAGGACACGGCGTGGAGCTCAATGCTGTGCTATTAGAATGACCTTCAGTAGCCCCAGCTGGGGCCTCACAGATGGAGATGTCCTATAGGAAGGTGTTTCATTACCTGTCTTTTCTCTTGAGAGAATGAAGAGGAGGGCGGGATGGTGTGGGCAGCGGGGAGCAGGGCTCTGGGACACCTGCAGCACTACTGGATATGGCGCTCACAGGAAACCGCTGAGGAATGACAGCTCCCGCCCCAGCCTAGCTGGAATGGGCTGTCCTTGCCAGGAGAGAGGGGTGCGAGCGTAGGTGGGGCTAGGAAGCAGGGCAGCCCCACTCAGCCCACCTGAGGAGGGAGGAGCCCCGCAGCAGGCAGTCAGCAGAGAGGACACCCAGCTCTGATGCTGGGATTACTCCAGGGCAGAGCGGGAGGTGGGCCCAAACAAACCCCGCATGCACGGTCACATGTTAGGGAGCGTGTGCCCATGTGGAGAACCAAGGACTACGGCCAGAAGCACACCCGGCTTGAAGCCGACTGTAAGCCGCTGATGCTGAGATCAGTCCTCTGAGCTGGAACAGCAGGCACATGCGGCTGAGAAGGCTACTGTGTGCCGGTACCGCGTGGCCTGGCAGACCTGTCGCATTGCCATCCTGGATGCCACCAGCTGGGATGGCTGCAGAGAGGAAGCATGGTGCTTCGGCCCTCTGACTGAAGGCTGCCTGCAGAGCCTGTTCTTCCTGGACTGTAGCTCCAAGTCCACCCCAGGCTCGTGCGTGCCCAGCCCAGCTGGCCAGTGCCCACTCCTTCATGGCGAAGACGATCTGGAGCCAGCCAGCCAGGTAGTATCTCAGCTTCTGCTGCTCTTGGGGTCCTCATAGCTCTGCTCCAGAGACAGGACCCTGGGTCCTTTGAGCCTCGGTTTTGCTCAGGGTCACTAACCAGCTCAGTGACCTATCTATCCTGCACCCTCTCAAGCTGTGGTGACTTTGGTCCCAGGGGGCTGTTGGTGACATCTGGGGACATCTCTGATGTCACAGCTGCTGTGGGTGATGCTCCTGGCATCCCTTGAGTGGAGGATAGGGTGCCTCTACAATGTGTGGGATGGCACTGTGGGGACCCTCCAGCCCAAACGCTGCAGCGCTACTACTGAGGAGCCCGGCTCCTTCTGGGAAGAAGAGCAGCCTGGAGTGAGGAGGCCTGGGCTGGAGAATGGTCGTCCTCTGCATCTTAGTTTGCCGTCAGACCCTAACACATTTAAGGCCTTGGGGAAAACACATGTGACATGGGCACAGTTTCTGCAGAACTCACAGGGCATCCTCAGCACAAGGACAACTTGCTCACTTTGGCGAATTTCCAACCAGGCCCACGTGTGCATGGACACTACCACACTTCTCCTGATGGGCAGCTCGCAGCCCCAGGTGCAGTGCTTGCAGAATGTGTGCAGTAAAATGTGTGTGTCAGAGGCTGGTTACCCTGAGCTTGCTGTTTGTGGCCTATGCCTGTCCACCTGCATCATAGCCCATGTCTCTGCCCGGGATTGCGGCAAGTTCTCGTACCCTCCACGGCATCCAGCAACTGAGCACAGGATTCACAGCCACTTCCACGGCTGTTATGGTTCCCCAAACAAACAGAATGGTCCAGACGACCAGCAAAGCAAGGCTGGAGGAGGAATGACAGCCAACGTTTTCCTGCTGACCTGTGGATTCTGTGGATTCCCAAGTGCTTCCCATCCCACAGGCTTGTATCATTTTGCATAGGACACATTATTATCACCCCTCTGTTTAAGAGGAGCAAACTGGAAGAATTTGAGAAACTGGGCTTGATAATGAGAATGATCGCTCAGGATTTCATGCCACACTGAAGCAGCTCAGAAGCAAGCCCCAGGCTACCAACCTCTCCAGGAAACACAGCTGATTTTAGGACGTGCAGCTGGGGATATCTTCTTAAAGGCCAGCTCAGAGGGGACATCATGTGCCCCACCCATTTCATCACATTTAAGCCGGTGTGCACACTCTGCTCACAGCCTGCGGAGCTTGGGCTGGAACCCAGGCCCTGCACACGCTGGGCAGCGCCTCCCCATAGAGCCCCACCCAGCACGTGGCTTTCCTTCTCCTTTAACCAGATACCTCCCCAGCTCCCAGGTTCCAGGTGTGTCCTGATGATCCGACTGCACCCCCCGAGGCAGGCTTTTGTGTCCTCTCACTGCGTCTCTTTCTCCTCTAGACTCTGGCCCCACTCTGGCAAAAGATCTTCATCTTTTTGCAAGATGATCCAATACGACAGCTGGCCCCAGTGTGAGGTCTCATCTCCCACTGAAGGTCAGGAGGAAGAGCAGGGATGATGGCTGGGTTTCTGGAGAGCATTCCTTTCCGAAGTCCACTGGATGTGAGGAGGGCTTTGTGGTGACGTGGCGACCTCCTGTCTCTGGAAAGCATGTTAGGGCTTGGCAGAGTGCAGTTTGGCCTGACTTTATTTGTTATCACTTCTCAAGATCAAGTTCACAGTGACGTCTTGTCCTGTTGGAAGCCTCATCTGCTCCAAGAGTCAGCAAATTTCCTTCTACAAACAGATCAGCTGGGCTGTAAAACGTGGGGTCTTCTCCGGACCTTTTTCTTGGTCAGTGGCGCATCAGCTGGGACCTACCTCCCCGCCTCTGGTGCAGGGAGTTGAGAACTGGGTCTGATAGGTGGGAATGATGACTCAATGGCCTTCAGGGCCAGTGGACCTGGCTTCCTGCTGAGGGCTTCCAGCATGCCCATGGCCCTCTTCAGCAGGGGTAGCTCAAGGAAGATGTATCTAACTTCAAGTTTAAGAAATGCTCAGTGTGGCTCACACACCTGCCCTGTCCCATCCTCCTCCAGGCCAACACTGGGCTTTACCTAGTGTGAGACACTGCATCTGTGTCCCCTCTATGCCCACTGTGCTCAGCACATCAGCTAAGATGACTGTTTTCTCATCCTCCCTATTTTCTTTCTTGGGAATTATCCATCAAAGCTTTTGTCAAGTCAAAACATTTCCTTAACCCATCAGTCAAGTGAAGCAGAGGCTAAGGCTTAAGCCAGGTGGTGCCTGAGACTTACCAGGGGACTGTATTCAAAAGCCATCGGGACTCTTTGATATGGAATGTGTGAGGAGGACACTTTGGTTCTCAAAGTCCACCTGGGCACACTCCTGGTTTAAAAACTACCATGATGGGTCCACACACACTCACACACAGGCACCAGATGACGAGCCTCTCTGACTTTGAACAGGAATTAAGATTAGTCAATAAAATGTGAGCAAATTGGGACTGGAGTTGTGGCTCAGAGCACTTGCCTAGCACATGTGAGGCACTGGATTTGATCCTCAGCACCACACTAAAGAAAGAAAAATATAGACAAATAAAATAAAGGGATTGTATCCATTTAAAAAAG